AATATTTCCAAGAAAATGGAAGTCGCCTACGTTGCGTATTCGTAAGCAGTGGCGTTCTGTGGGAATTAGTATAATTAATTCTTTCAATTTCAAACAGATTGTGCTTAATATAGAAAATATAAATTAAAAAGAAAATGACACTACTTATTTTTTTAACAAAATCCGATGTTAGATTCGATTATTTCTTTTTAATTGGAATATCACTTTAAGAATTTTTTTAATACAAGTGCGACTACGTAGCCTTAATAAGCATCATTTGAAACCCTTAAAATTCCAACTTCATCGATTTACAAAGGGCAAACTTTTTTCCATAAAGTTTTAAATTTATGAGGTTTCCGCTTCCAGGAGGCTTTGGAAATGTCCAAAGGTGCAAAATTATCCAAATACTTAACCTACCTATTATGACCAATAAATAAATTATTTTCATAATTGTAGACCCATGATCAAACGCTATATTTACCAATTATTACCATCAATGTCAGTAATTTACTAGATTTTCATCCTGAGGCATTTCCAAAGCCTTCTAGATTTTTAAACAGAGAAAAGTTATAAATTAATATACAGGGTGTCGCGCTTAAAAGTGCTACAAGCCTGTAGCTTATTTATTTTTCGGCCGATTACAAAAATTTTTATTTGGGAATGTAAGGTAAAAAACCTCTATCTAACTGTGATACTGCTGTTGTTTATTAATCACGGCCAACTAGGACGCACCAAACATGATGTGACATTATTGGTGGACACGTCATAGCACCCTATTTTATAAAAGGAAATTTGACCTCTGAACGATAATTATTACTTTTGAAAAAACATATTATTCCTGAGCTTAGACGATTATTCCCGAACTATTAACAATCCCAATTTACCGGCAGAACAAATATGGTTTCAACATGATGGGGTTCCTCCGCATTTTGAACGTATGGTACGGGCATATCTAGATGAAATTTTTCCTGATAAATGGATTGGACGTAGAGGGGCAATTGAAAGGCCAGCTAGGTCTCCCGATATGAACCCGTTTGACTTTTTCTGTGGGGTCACATAAAAAATATAGTCTACAAAAATAGGCCGCAAAATATCAAAGAAGGATAAGGCATGTTTCCACTATTCCTCCCAACACCCTTTTAGATTCACTACAAAATTTTGTTCAGCAAATTCATTACTGTCAGGAGGTAAACGGTGAATACTTTGGGCACCTTATAAAACAGAATTCCAAAGAAAATATTTGTTGTTTATTAAAACTTATTTTCTCTCTTTTTTATTGTGCCATAACCATTGTTTTCATAAAATTTAAAATATTCATTCATTTAATTCATTCATTAGAAAATATATTTTTTTTCGTTTCATTTATTTTTATCAACCCTGAACTATTTTTTATTTTCTATAAAAAAACTAATAATAAAATTAAATCATATCCATATTATTCACCTTGTGTTATTTTCAAAATAAATAATATTCAAAATTTTTTATAAATTTAAGAGTGGTAAAAAGTTACATTCCATTTTGTTTAGAATTTCGAGAATTGAAATGTGGAATAATACAGGGTGTTAAAAAAAGAGTGTAAAATATTTCAGGATGTAATACTATGAACCAAAATAAGCAGAAAAGTCTTAATAAACATGGGTCCGCAAAGTAACGGTTGCGGAGATATGGACCACTATTCGTTTTTCAAACATTTTAATTTATTAGGAATAAACCGACAAAGGAAGCTTTTAACAAACAAAAAACAAAGTTACAGAAGATGTTCAAAGTGCCCTCCGTCCATTTCCAAGCAGGCACGACATCTTCGTCTCAACGATATTCGAACTCTTTCGAAAACACCCTCCTTGGTTTGGATTTCTTGACACTTTTGATTAATCCGTAGCTGCAGCTCTTCCAGGCTATTTACAGGAGTACCATACACTAATGTCTTCAAATATCCCCAAACAAAGAAATCTAGAGGGTTCAGATCAGGCGATCTTGGAGGCCATAAAACAGGTCCGGCCCTTCCTACCCATCTATGTGGAAAAGTTTGGTGTAAATGCTCTCTAACGGCCATGGAAAAATGAGCTGGAGCACCATCATGCTGGAACCACATTTGTTGCCTCTGATTCAAAGGAATGTCTTCCAAAAACTCATACAGTGTGTTCTGCAGAAAGTTGAGGTAAGCAGCGCCTGTTAATCGGTTTGGTAAAACAACAGGACCTAGAAACCTGTCACCTACAATACCCATCCAAATGTTTAATGAAAAACGTGCCTGATGTCCAGATTCTATTAGAGCATGAGGATTTTCGTCGGCCCAAATATGCGTATTGTGAAAATTAAACACTCCATTTCTTGTGAACCCGGCCTCATCAGTAAAAAGAATGTTTGCAAGAAAACGAGGGTCTTCAGCATCATGACGTAGAAACCAGCGGCAAAAAACCAAACGTGCTTGATGATCATTTATTGGATTTAAGGCCTGTACTCGTTGCACATGGTATGGATAAAGCAGTTGCTCGTGAAGGATTCTCCAAACAAGAGGACCACTAATTCCTACCTCGGCTGATATTCTCCGCACACTCGTACCTGGATTCTGCTCTACCAGTGCTAGAATTTCTTCTTCTGCTCTAGGAGTGGATACCGACCTTGGTCTTCCGGATAAATGGCACTGTTTGCTCAAGGAACCGGTATCACGCAATCTTTGGTGAATTCTTCCAAACATGCGTTGTGAAGGAATCTGGCGATTTGGATAAGCGTCAACATAAAGACGTCGCGCTTCGGTGGCGTTCCCATTAGCACGACCATACATGAAATGCATGTCTGTTAATTCTGCGTTAGAGTAACCAGCCATAGCGAAAGAAAACTTGTGCACTGAGAACAACTGTCAAATACGTACTGTTTATTTCACTAAACATCAACCAACTATTATAAGAAAATACACAACGTTTTTGCAAAATAAAAAAAGGGGCTAAAAAACATAAAACATTCCATATCTCCGCAACCGTTACTTTGCGGACCCATGTTTATTGAGACTTTTCTGCTTATTTTGGTTCACACTATTACCTCCTTAAATATTTTACACTCTTTCTTTAACACCCTGTATACAGCGTGTTCCATTTTCTAATTAATTTTTCTGTATTGTAATAGATTTAAAAAAAATAGGGACTGTTTCATCTATGATAGGTGCGTTATTTAAATTTAAATAATATGTGTTTCGATGTCCTATTAAATCTGGAATGTTGATTTCTACTACGCAGTAAGATATACTTTTTTTTACAATTTGTGTATCTGAAAAATTTAATTCAGTGAATGGCAAATACCTGACAGCTGAAAGTTTTATTAATAATGTATAGAGCACTAAACAAAAAGTTATACAATGTAAAGACCCAAGATTTAGTTTACAAAAAATTTGTCGTAAAACCGCTGTGTTTACACACAGGATGCGACAATACGTAACACGTGTCCTAAGAGATATCTGAGACTGACATCAGTAATTGTGTTTGAGATTTTCCAGACATCCTTTATTTTTCCTAGGCTTTATAAAAACGTTTCTGGAGGCCGCAAGGTCTACAAAATGCTTATGTTACTTTCTGCCTCCCCGTTTGTTTCCAACTAGTTCAAATTGATTAGAATATGCACATATATTCATTCAAAAGATCGGTGAAAATGGAACCGTTCTTGCGACGGAAAATTGCAACAGAAATTGCTTTCATTTATGAACACCTACTAATTCTTGAACAAAAATTAATCCCAAAAGATGTATTGTTTATACTGGTGTTAATGTAATGGGATATGTTTCGATTGGAATGATTGGTTAACATTAAGGCATTAAATGGTACAATTAATTACCGTTGACCCGTCTCTCGAAAGGCTGATGAAAATGGGTAAATCGCTTTGCTTCCCGGTTCTCGTTTCCTGCTATGTCGGGCGGTTAATCTCAAAAGCAATTTATATCTATACGGATAGATCCAGTAATGCCAATGGTGGAAAGAAATATTTCGCACGATTTAAAACATTCGTCGTAGCAAGCTATGAATAACAACTTTTCCTAGCAGAAAATTGCGTGTTTACGAAGTTGCGGTTTTACTTTTTTCTACATTATAATCTTTCGGCGAAATACGTATTACCAATTTGAATTTACGGGGGAAATTGTAGTTAATTTTTTTATTACATTAACATTTTCAACGCTTATGTACCTATATGTGCCTTTGGTGAAGGAAAAAAATGCCAATTTCGTTTTAATCACTACCGAATAAAAAATTAAAATGAAAGTTGTATTTACAAAGAACAACATTATACAGGGTGTCCCCAAGATATAAAAAAAAGTAAAGAGACAAAAAAGTTGTACTTTTTATCGCATAATTTGAAAAACATATGACACCTAAGAAAAAGCAGTGACATCCATATGTTTACTTATTAATATCAACAGGAGTAAGTCCCCGGACGTCGCTGGCAAAGATAAAATAAATCAAATTACGTCAGAAGACGTATACCGTTTTTATAAACAAACATACCAAATTTAAAAAAAATCGGAGTTAGGGTTCTCCAGATATTAGTAAAAACCTTGTATTTTCTCTAAATTTCAACACCCTGTATCTCCGAAACGAAGCATTTTCGGACATAGGTTTATAGGAACTTTCTTTCTTATTTTTGGTCAAGGAAACTCCAGATTTTTTCCGCAATATTAATGGGACACCCTGTATAAACAAAAATGAAGTTAATACCGACTTAAATGATATTATTCACAGTAATAAAAATATAACTGACAAAAAGAAATTAAAATAAAAATTATTTGAACATTAATAGAAATAGTGTGAAATACTATGCCTGATTGTATATGTATTACACATTATAGATACCTATACATAATCCATGCTGTGGCAACCTTGTAGAACATTTAAAATTATCTAAGTCGTTATTAACAAATTTTTTATTCACACTTGTATTATCGTTAGAACTAATTAGCTAGAATATTGCTTAATCTTAGCAGCAAATCAATTTAAATGTCTAATATACTAAGTTAATAGTTTCCTTTTTATTTTCAGATACTATAGTGGAAAATCAACATATTGTGACCGTTTTTGTTGACGAAGGTAAGTTCTTCGTTGTTATTTGACATTTTTTAAATCCATATTAAGCATAGAGCTTGACCTAAGTCACCTTGTCCGCTAGATGCGCAGATCAAGAAGAGATACACCTTAATAGTACAGCACGTACCTTCTGTGCAAAAATTTTATTTTATTAGCTATTGCCACTGATCATCTGAAAAATGAATTTAGTCAAGTAAGACATTCGAATTGTTGTTACTTACGTCTACATTTCTAGAATGGAAGATAATAAATAGAAGATATTTGCGGCTGGATCAGGTGTTCTTCAGGGACATAATCTCGACCGTTCTTGTCTTTGATATTTATTAATAACCTTACAAGAATTATTAAATGTATTAAGTTGCTCTTTGCCAATAGTTTAGCAGTGTATTGTAAAATCAAAAATGTTTACCATATTATATTTTTTCTAGTCTTAAATAAGATTAATCGTTCAAAGAAAATTTATTAACTTCCGTCTTTCAAGAGCGATACTATATATTCCAACCAGACTAGAATCATGAATTTTTACTTGCTATATTCAATATTCCATCATGAAAGCTGAAACCAATTATGAATATCCTATTTTTATTTAATCAATTTGGCTGTATGGCAACGTTAGAACATTTTAACGTCAGAAACCTAAATTTCCATTCAAAATGAAACTTTTCCTGTATAATTATTTAATGAATGTCTTACAATTTTAATACTATTTCCGATAAATGCGATATTAATTTTTCGTCTTTTCTAAATGGAGCTATACAAAACGCTTTTCAGTTATAATTAGCTTATTTTTTTCTGCTCTATTTTATTTCATCTTTACCAGTTAATTAAAATTTCCATTTAATCAACTGTTACATTGTTATTTGTTAATTATAACGGTCTCTGTATAAGTTTAAGTTTATTTCAATTAACTACTTAATAGGACTTCTTTTCCTTTTAATTTTATTTCTCATAACAATTTTTTTTGTTCATAAATTTTATCCTGTAAGAATTTTTTTTTCTGCTGACTAATTAAACTCGATTTGACTTGATTCATTTGATTTGATTTTATTTGATAATGCCTTCATCTTCTTGTACTTCGAATAATTTATTGAGTTTCCTTTTATTTGCAATTTGTAGAATTTAATGCTTTAGACATATGAAAGAATCCGTATTTAATGATAAATATCTACACTTATTTATGTTATAATATTCCGTGCGATATAATTGGGGTATAAAAATATAATATATTTACCGGATAATCTTTGGCCTCCAAAATAATAGCGCACTTAATAACACCAAAAGGCGCTTCATAAAAAATTCAATTCAAGATGAAAGATATAAATATAATCGAGGGACCCCGAATAACGTTTTCAACCAGACCGCGACAGGTTTTGTTAAAAACATTACGCCGTGCCAGAAGTCCATTCATCATGTTGACACAGAACGTTGTACCAAGCCTTATGGCTGAGCACTGCGTGAATGGAGAGATTTTTTTATAATGCCATTGTCAAGCGTTACCGAAATGTGAACCGCTATTTAATTAGTTTTATAGGCTCCATTCCCGATGCCGTTTATCGATGGGGATGAGCAATATGTCGAAAATTGCTGCAGTGATGTTCAATTCATCGATTCCTTGGCTTTGCCAACAATTATTACCCTTCTCCAAAAATATTTAGTTATTCAATATTTATAAAAAAAAAATAGGGAAGAAGAAAACTTACAAAATCCGAACGAAACGGCAGCTCAGTTATCTGGAGAGTGGTGTGGATCCATTAAACTTATTTTTTTCTTTAATTAAAAAATGCGAATGAGCAAGAAGGTGCTAATACATTTGGCGTTGCTTCGCTATGAATATCGCAGAGTCCATTGCTATCCGCGATAATTTTTAAGATGCAAGCGCATCAAGCGGCCGTTCATGTTTACAGATTCATTATTCAAATTTTGATCAACATTCGTTTTATTTCCCATTATTATTAGTAATTTTGTTATTAAACTGCGATTATTTGACTTTTGCGTTATTTTATAGGTTTCAAATAATTCATAAATAAATTTTAATGCAAGTATTTCTCTCTACCTTGTTTGTTTCTAGCAATACAATTTAATGTACATTTTTTGAGGTTATAACTATGAAGTTATCCGTTGTGGAATACCAACATTTGTTATTTAAGTGCCAACGAAAACTCTCGTTGTATATCAGAAGGAGAGGCAGTTTTTAACGCTGGTCATGTGGTACTATGTAGGAAAATTGGACAGTGATTTAAATTTAGAAATTTATTCATTGTGTCTGCAAACTAGTGCCCTTACTAACAACGCTCTTGAAATTCAGGGACTGTTGTCTATCGACAATAATATTGTGAAAATGTCTTCAATTTGATGAAAAGTTAATTCTGGATTTTTTAATTTTTTTTTTAATATAACAGTGTTCAAAAGCAAACATTATACCCAGTTTTAAATAAAATACACACAAGAAATGTTTACCTTGTTTCACTAGTATCACTTGTCACAGCCAGAGGGCGAGCTCTTAGCTGCATTTGCGAATACTCATAGGTTACTTTGAAAACTTGTAAGACTGATGTAAACAATAAACCACGGTAATAAGAGCGCTTAAAACCACAGTGATGGTGAATAAATCGGAAATCTAAATATACATTTTAATAAGCACACTGCAATTGTCCACCTGCATAGTGTTTTTAGAAAGTACAGCAAGTACAATTTACTATTAGTTTTTTAGTGGTAGGGTCTATTTTTAATCTGTTTTGAGGTAGATGTGGGTGTTTGCCCCCTAAATAATTTTTTCTGGATTACTTTCATTATAACTCACATAATAAAAGTGTAGATCCCTAAATCGGGGAAAAGTCCGGAACTTTTTCTAAATTGGAAAATTGTTTAAAAAATTTAAAAAAATACCTATTTTATTTGAGTTTTTTACTTATATCTTGGAACCTATGAATTTTAAAAGAATATTGAAGAGGAAAAAAGTTTTAGAATTGAATTTTGCACGATATACTGTAAGTTAAAAATGTTTAAATTTATTACCGATGTTGCAAAATAGCAATAATTGATTAAAAAAAGGCAAAATAATGAAGTTTTTTAGATAATTTTTTAAAAATATTTTAATTGCTCCGAGGGCATTCTAATTTTGGTAAAAAAACTTTAAAGTATAATAAAACAACGCACCAAATTTCATTAATATCGGTTCTATAGTTTTCGCAAAATAATTTTTTTAAAATATTAAAAAAAATCGAACTTTCAAAATATTACACAGCTCCAAATAATGAATCTAGATGCTTGAAATTTTTTTCACACAGAAAAGATCGCGTAACCTTTGAAATGGTTTTTGAAAGGTTGAGCGGTCTTTTCTATGTGAAAAATTTTTCAAGTATCTAGATGTTTTACTTGAGGTTGTACATCTTGAAAATTCGAAAAAATTTTTTCGAAAAATTATTTTGCGAAAACTATGGAACCGATTTTAATTAAATTTGGCGTTGTTTTATTATACTCTAAAGTTTTTTTTACCAGAATTAGAATGCCCTCGGAGCAATTAAAATATTTAAAAAAAATTATTCAAAAAACTTGATTATTTTGCCTTTTTTTATATTATTATATATTATGTCTCAGTATATGAAGCAATGAAAGTACTAAAACTGTGAACTACCTATCAAGCCAGGGAAGGTAAAAAAAGTTTTGGGTTTTAATGAATGTTAAAAATAAAAATAGAATTTATTAACAATTTCAATAATCCAAACCATGCAACAAATACATTAAGATTCGCGTGTACGTTAATATAAATTTAATTATTGGAAATTCTAATACCTCAGGTGTCATTAAATGTGGGTATAGTCTTATAACTACAGACAAAAAAATATGGTTCCAATAAACATTTTATTAGCGCTGACATTTCTTTTACTAATTGTAAGTTTTAAAGATGTTGAGCTAATTGAAATTCCTTTTCAGCATCGAATTATTTTTTCTAAAATATGATGTTTATATAAGTACATATATTTTTTTTTCGGTTAATTTTTACAATTCTATACACGAAGATATGCTATCTGATAAAACAATCCCAATTAAAATGTGAAAATAAAAAGATATATTTACAATAGCTGTTTTTTTTTCATGATTAGTCATTGTCAATGGTGATAATAGGAACCTAAGAATACAGGATACTTATTCGAATGATTGTATTACTTCACAATATTAGTACATGATGTATGTGTTTTTGTATTAATTACACAGTTCCATAAAAAAAGAAAAGTGACACTATCCAAAGAATAGACCCATGTATCCTTGCTTCATCACCCTCCTTTTTTTAAATTGCGGAAAACCGCCCTTAAATACTGAAAATATGGGAAATTCTATTTTTCAAAATGCGATATTAAAGACAAAAAGAATCACTATGAACTGAAACTATGTCCAAAAAGAACAAATTTTCATCCAGACTTGAAAAACTTCATCCGCGACTCCTTAGTTGATTCTTCAAATGTTCTGCTTCCACCTCTCCGTATTAAGTTTGGTCACATACAATAGTTCGTTAAAGCTTTGGACAAAAGTGGCGAATGTTGAATATTTACAAGAGAAGTTTCCGGAAATAAGTGACGTTAAACTGAAAGAATGATTGTTTAAAATTGAAAAAAAAATTTTGCATAAAAACTATGAATGCTACAAGATTTTATCAAGAGCACGAAACATCTCGAAAAAGGACTGATGCATCAATAAAAATAAAATTTATTGATTCCAGCGACCAAATAAAAAGTTCTGGTAATTCTTGTACCAAAACACTCAAGAATTTACCACTAGCCCAAGGCAGATGGACGCGGTTGCTTCATCAAAACATGAGTTTTACTTAGGAACTAGTCCACAGCAAGTTTCATTAAAATCCATCGTAACATATTCCAGGTATTTCAAAAAGCACATATTTTTTCAAGAACTTTGACAGTCAGTAGCAGAGAAACCAGACATTTTTTCTTAATGGAAGTTTGGTCAAATCGTCTTCTTTTGAGCCAAAGAATATCGCAGTACCTTTT